AATCAGGGTTTACAAGTTACTTACACACCAACCACTAACTGCACGGTAAAATTTAGCTTCTTGGGCTAGGTTCAAGGCATGTTATGCAGTTCCTTCATTCTCTTTTTGTAACTTGATTAATAACAAAGAATCTCATGACACTTTAAATATAAAGTTATTGATAACTGCATCTGCTGTATGAACTGTAAGATTCAACACCCAGGTTTCCTCTTCTGAGGATTCGAGCTCAGAGATTGTGTGAACCAAGCCAGGTAATCCGAATTTCTTGTGTCATAAAAATACAACCCTGATGCTCTCTTCCACACATCATTCATCTGAGAGCATTAGCAAATGAACTGAGGTGGCGCAGCAGTTAGAGTGCAGTACTGCAGGCCACTTTAGCTGACTGTATTCAGCAGGTCAGCGGTTCAAATCTCACCGGCTCAAGGTTGACTCAGCCTTCCATCCTTCTGAGGTAGGTAAAATGAGGACCCAGATTGTTGGGGGCAATGTAAATATATATATATATATATACATTGCTTACTGGTGTACACCGCTTAGAGAGTGCTTGCACTTAAAGTGGTATATAAGTCTCATAAATAAATAAACTTTAAATAACAAAAGTACCAAAATGGACAGTTATGCCTACTTTTATTGAAGTTATTTATTTATTATGGCCATATACAGAAAGCCGGGTGTTTATTGCATTGGCTGTAGATATTTGGCAGCTGACAAGACCCAGAAGCAGCCAGCATGGGGCTTCCCAGCCAAGATGAATTAGCCAGTGACATCGTCATTGCCCAAGGAATGCCCAATGGAGACTCACCTCTTCTGTCCCTACAGGTTCCCACCAAAATGGTAACTATTTATCTACTTGCATTTTTCAAACTGCTAGGTGGCAGGAATTGGAGCCTGGGGTGGGAATTCACCTGGCTACATAGTACCCAGATCTCAAACTTGGGTTTGATGATTGTCAAACCTCCATGCTAACCATAGAGCCACCATGCCCCTTTTATTAAAGTTCTTAATAAACATAGTGAAAAAACTAACACAAACTAAACTCGAAGGAAAAAGTGCAACAAGTGCAGAAAAAAGGAAAAGAAAAAAATAGGAAAGACGACAGCAACAAAAACAAAAATAAACATGTGGCTTCCAATCTTCATTACACTGAGCATAAACTAACAACTTTTCATCCACTTTTTAAAAGTACAAATAAAAAAGAACGCTTCTCTTATTCTAATTTTTATCTATATGAAATCCAGAAATCATTATCTTTTCAGTCTTGATTCAGCAAAAAAATCCACTAGGAGTTACCGGAAATATCAAACAAATAATTTATCTCTGATTAAATAGTCCAACTTTACATTCCTTCGATTCGCTCTTCACAAATCTTAACCTTTAAATCATTCCATTGACATTACAAGATCTTTCATCAATCTTTAGTATTCAAGAGGAATCTTCAAAGCTTTCATGAGCTTACTTTGAAAAATAAGTGAAGAGGCATCATTCAAGATTTTTTTCCCCCGCAACTGTTATATATCTAGATCCTTTTCTTGATTTGTCTTTTGAATTCACATTTTGGTAACCTTAATTTTGTTGTCTTCCATATCTTCAAACTCTATAATATTTATGGCAGGGGTGTCAAACTGCCAGCCCACCCCATTGCCAGCAATGGGGAAAAAGCGCCAATACGTTGTGCGACATCACGAGTTTGACATGTCTCATCTATGGCAACTAAAAATTTAATTTTTTTCATTAATTTAATTTTTTTTCATTTTCTTCTAAAATAATCCATTGAAATACGTATCCTTTCTGAGATATTAATTATTAGTACCTCAGTCCAGTTATCAAAAAACCTTTCAAGAGAAGAAAAAGTTATAACTGGCTTAGCCATTTTAACTCTTTTCTGCCTGGTCCTTTAGTTCCCTCTAGTGTCAATCTGTAACTTTCATTAAGCCACAGTTCCTAATATGGGTTTAGCTCCATTTCAGTAGTTTCCCACAACTCTACGATTTTTCCTATGCTTTTTAAATCTTTTAGCAAAGATAACCAATATTCCAAATCTCTCTGGTTTCTCTATCCATTTTAAAAAAAATTACTTTCCCCTTTTGCCAATTATATATTACTGTATTTTAAATTCTTAAGATTTGGTTTACAATTTCTTAAATCCCAAAAACTGAGCCTGCCATTTTGAAGGTCTCTAATATGGATAAGGTGATTAAACTGAACATTTCCAAATGTGATTAGAAAGTGAGTTGGTATGGATTAATGTCCTTATGTAAAAGCTGTGCTACTAATGAGAGTAAAGACGTTGTCTTCCTGTTTATGGTCTTCTCACGAGAAGCTGCTGCCGAGAGCACTCATGACCCATCTCCCATTCTTACTCTCTGGAGAGCTTCAAAAGACCAGCCTACTCACTGGTGTTTCATTCTTCACAGCAACTGTTGTTTCTGCTTATTTATCGAGATGTCTTTAGTCAGCCATGTCTCACAGCAGAAGACCACAGCAGGTATTCCAATGACTTAACTGTTCAGATTTATTACAGAAAGTGTTTTGATAAATAGATACGAATGAAGTGATTATTTGAACAGTAACTTTAGATGACACTCAGTAGTACATACCTCAGCAGTGAGAGTAAAATAGTCTTCGGCTGCCTCTTGCCCTGTGATAATACCATGACGGCGATTAATTCCAGCCATGACTGGTCCTTGGAATTCAACTGGTGCTACAACTTCCACATCCATAATGGGCTCAAGGATACATGTTCCTGCCTCTTTCAGAGCTGAGTTCAAAAGGAAGAGATGATACAACTTCTATACAGCCTTATGCCTTTTTATATTTACTATTTAACACACATGCTCACCTTGTGGTGAGATGGGCGGCAAGTAAATTTAATATATATAAATGAATGAATGAACGAATGATATATCTATATAGATCTGCAGCATGTAAAGACTTGTTTTCAGTTCAAGTTGAGTAATAACAAAAGACATTATTTATAAAGAACCGTTGCATGAAATACCCCAAGATAGGCAGTTTGATGGCCATGCCTGATAGAGGAAGTAGAATATAAACAGTAAACAGTCTATCTAGAACACGGGTGTCAAACTCGCCACATATCCTGCCTTTTTTCGTATTGCTGGAGCTGGGGTGGGCATGGCCTCCGGATGATGCAACTGGCCCACGGGCCAGCAATTTAACACCCCTGATCTAGAATCAAGAGGGATTTCCCTCACTGAAGATTTTGAAATGAACATCAGGTGACAGTTTGTTAAACACTGCTTAGTAGATTCCTGTTTCAATAGAGGGCTGCATTAGATGATCTACAAACTTTTCTAACACCTACACTCAATCATTTTATGAAACTTACATCACATACTAATATAAAGCCCAAATATGTTTGTTTCAAAGACAAACAACAAGATGGGAGAAATCATGATAAGCAGATATGAATAGGAAAGAAATGAAATTCTTCAGAACATAAAAGACAAATCTAAAGTCATAAGAATGGTAAAGTGGTGGATAGCAATAAAATGAAAGAACTAGATGCTTGATCTGTGGGTTGGTTGGCTAGAAAGAACTATCTATGTCTTTAAATATTTATATAAATATTTAAATTGGGACTGTAACTGTTGTTGCTGAGCGATGGGGTTATTAAATAACCACATCCAATTTTATGACCTTTTTCACAATCATTAAGAGAAACACCATAGTCATTAAATGAATCATACAATCGTTAAGCAAATCAGGCTTCCAACATTGGCCTTGCTTGTTGGAAATCACCTGGGAAGTTGTAAATGGCAATTTTGATCACACGATGGTGGAGATGCAGTGATGGTCATAAATGCAAGGACCAGATGCTTTTTCAACACACTTGTAACTTCGAACAATCATTAAATGAATGGTCATTAAGTTGAAGACTACCTGTATAAGTATTGTGGATAAACTATAAAGAACAGTACAGGCATGAGGAAGCGTTTGAAAGAAAATTTCTTCATACCTTGTCTTATGGCACCTTCAGCAGCTCGGATGAAAGAAATTTCATTAGAATCCACCATGTGAGAAGCTCCATCCTCCAAGACGAATCGGATCCCTGAAATCTTGTGACCTATTAATGGGCCTTTCTCACATGCATCACGGAATCCCTATAAAACATAAGATAAGATAACCCTTTATTGCTATTTTTTACTATGAGCAACTGGCCCACATTAAAAATGACATTCTATTGCCTGCTCTCAAAAGAAAGCATATATCTTTTCTTTTTTGCAATAACCCGATTTTACAATATTTATGTGATCTTAGCAACAGCTTGATGGCACGCACATACACACACACACACACAAACTTTAATAGTCTACAATAACAGTAATATGCATTCGAAAAATATGATTCAAAGTAATGATTTGTAATCAGAACATAATTAGGATAAGATAGCATGTGTAGGATTGAAAATAAAATGAAACCTTAGAGATATTGACACATAAATTGAATAATTATGTGCCATCAAGTTGTTGCTGACTCTTAGGGACCACATAAATATTATAAAATCAGGTTATTGCAAAAAAGAAATGAGCCATTTACATGGTTTTAAAATCCTAAGAAGTGAGGGATGAACTCAAGCCCTATAATGGTCTCCCTATATATCTACAACTTACAAAAACTGCTGCTGTTTGCTTAAAATTTGGGATCTAATTTTTATCATTCTGACATGAGAAGAAATCTCACCATCCACTAGAATTGTAACTCAAGGCAATTATACTCTGAAAGAAAAATTATAACAGTACTTGTCTACAATATTGTCTGGTTCATATTTAATGTAACAAAACTGAAATAAGTATATATTACCTTTTCAATAGCTGGCAGAAACTGCTTTGGAATATTTGTCCCAACTGTTTTGTCAAGAAATTCTAGTTTCGTATAATTCTCTGGATCTAGAGGCTCCAGATACCCTATGACTTTTCCATATTGGCCTGCTCCACCAGACTGCTTTTTATGGGTATAATCAAACCTGCAAAAAATGCAAACGTTATGGTGCAGTCAAATCACACCTGTTCTGGTTATTTAATACCATGTGTAATGGTTATGTGTAATGGTTCTCTGTGTGATCAGCACTGATCTTCAGATGTGCAAGCAATTTTCAAATGCAATTTTTTTTACACAAGTCAACAGTCCAGAGTCCCTCTCCGGTTGTGTTAAGTGTTGCACTTGGTACTCCTGTATTTTTATAATAAGACATTTCATTTTAAAAACACTGGGTTTTTTTTGGGGGGGGCACCAGGATTATGTTTATATATACTGTAGGTTATTATCATTTATAAATAACTACATAAAAATAGATTTACAATGCTTTTAGTTTGAGTGAGAAGCTAATAGAGAATTAAGCAGAAGTTCTCTCTTTGCACAGAACTGAATGGAAGGGTGATTAAATGAATGTGTTGACAGCGCGATTGCACTTTTGGCAAAGCTTCCATAGAAAGCAAATCCTGCGTTCAGATGCCTCAAGCAACAAGCCAATATTTGCTTTTCTCGGGGCAGAGTCCACAGCCCTCCCCCTCCGCTCACTGCTTCCCACAAGAGCTCCGCGATGTGGGTCGAGCCAAGAGGGAGCACAGCCCGAAGCCGCTGGATGAGGTTGGCTTGCTCCGCCCGGGAAACAGCCGAAACGCAGCTGCAGCGCCGACGGGGAGGGCAGGAGCAACCGCCAACTATTTCTCCGGGTGCCAGCGACCTCTGGTCCTAAGCAAACATTCTCCGGAATGGGTTGTTATTCTTTGCCCTCTGGCTGCAAATCCCTTTGGAGAGTATTTAATGGCCAGGAAGAACCAATTGGCCCCCGAAGGCGGAACAGATCGTCTTGTTATCCTTTCTAGAGTCGACGCCGCCCAATAGTTTGGGAAGGCATCCGACCCGAAGGGCGGCTTCCCATGGTCTCCGAACCGCCGCCTCTTTCCTAGCTGGGACGGATTCGGGCTTCTGCACCGAAGCCGCGGTCAGATCCAACCGCGCAGAGATGCGGACCCTTCGCGGCCCAGGAGCCCCCGCTCGGCTCCTCCAGCTGCTGCTTCCGGCTTCCCTGGTGCTCGCCCACCCGGAGTGGCCACTGCGCGCCGCAAACGGCTCCGCCCAGCCGCTCCTGGGGAAGCCTTCTCGCCGCGGCTACGGCGAGCAACTCTCCCCAAGCGCGATGGAGATCCCGCCGTCCCATTACCCGGCCAACAGAGCCGCCAGCGTGGTGCTCCACTACATCGCGTATCAGCGCGGCAGCCCGTACAGGCTCTTCGAAATGGGGCGAGTGAATCAAGCCAGCCTGGAGGTGAGCCCCGAAGGCAGGAAGGCAGGCAGGAAGGAAGGGAGGCAAAGGCGCGGGCTCAGGCAGGCAGCACCGCGCCTCCCGCCCGGCTACCTACTGCCAAGCACCAAAGCCGGCGTTTACGGCAGAGTTGACAAACCTGCCACGAGCAGGCGGGAGAGTGTCCCGGGAGGGCAGACCTGAAAGGGGAGGCATTGGCCTTTGATCCGGAGGCGCCTCCCTTCCTGGGAAAAACAAAACAGACCTTCCCCCTCGTTCCACCTTGTCTCCTCGAATTTGCAATTTTTAAGCCCCGTCAACTCAGTACATCGTCCCTTAATGGGATTTCACCAGCTACGATCATTGCTGCATTTCCCAGACGTGGTAAATAGCAATAGCACTTAAACTTATATACGGCTTTACAGGCCTTTCTAAGTAGTTTACGGAGTCACCCTATTGCCCCCAACAATCGTCCTCATTTTCCCGACCATGGAAGTCTGAGTCAACCTTGAGCAGGTGAGACTTGAACTGCCAAACTGCTGGCAGTCAGCAGAATTAGTCTGCAATATTGCATTCTAACCACTGCTCTACCATGGCTCTTCAAATTGAAAATATCAATGGGAAACAGTTTAAAATAAAAAAAAAGACTGCTACAGTTGTTTGCATTCCATAAATAACAATACTGACCTGGTCAAAATAGCAACTGAAAATGTTGGGACTATACCAGGGGTAGGCAACCTTGGCTCTTTTATGACTCGTGGACTTCAACTCTCAGAATTCCTGAGCCAGGCTGGCTCAGGAATTCTGGGAGTTGAAGTCCACGAGTCATAAAAGAGCCAAGGTTGCCTACCCCTGGACTATACCCTCACAGCCCAATCATACTTACTGAGGTTATGGGACTCGTACTCCTCAAAACACATGAACACAAGCTGGAAAGGATGGAATAAGTGTAACCTGTGCTTACCCTTGCAAGGCTGCCACACTATGAATTTCATAAACACAACAGAATTCTAAAGAATCACTTTATGACAGTTCACTCTGTGTTTCAGCAAATGGCTTAACTTAAGGCTTTACACCTTTCCCTTCCTGTTTTCAGTAATAAACCCATACAGATAAAGAATAGCAACCTCTACCAAACTATTCAAGATAAGCAATGTAATAATTCTCTTTTTATTTTAGGACATTCCAGGTACCGGGCATAAATACCATCTTAAGTTTGAAGTGAAAGAAAGTATTCAGAATGTAAGTTTGTATCTTATATTTTCTTTAGTATAAGTTGGATGACCTTTAGGGACTGACATAGATGCTGGAGGCCCTAATTTGCATCCCCACCCCAAATAAGCATATGTAATGTGGGCAGCCCTGCCCCAAATCACTATTTTGAAGCTACTATTAGGAATGAGGGAAGCTGTTTTGAGAAAGGCAAAGGGAAGACTTCTGGGGTGTGTGTTTATGGATGCATGTCTGTAGGGGCTGAGGTTAAAATCTTTCCTCTTCTCTAAGCCAACTTCCTCATAATCATAGGTTGGAAGTGTCTTCTTATCTAATTCACTACCTGTTTAGAGCAGGAATCCTCAGATCACCCACCCTCTCATGGTTGCCGAGAGCAACACTGGTGATGAAAAATTGTGTGTGTGAGAGAGAGCAAATTCAAAGCTGTTGTAAGTTATTAGTCATGTTTTATGGCTTAAGCTCACATATGAACCCAGCAACTGTGGTTTATTATATAATGGCAATTAAAACAAAACAAAGGTCATTGTTCTCAATCTAGAAGTGAAGGCTTAAAGCCACTCCACCCTTCCCAAATCTCTGTTCTCATCTAATACATATCTGATGCTAGTATGTGTGTGTATATAAGGGTTGCCTAAGAAGAAAACGAAGTATTCTGCAAACAAATGCAAAACCACTTTAAAAAACTAGGACTTGTTGTGATGTGATCTCATTTAATTTTTTGTTTAATGGAGGCCTTACATACCATCAAGTTCTTGCTAATAAATCATCCCATAATATAATGTGGAGGATAAATATGAAATGACATCTATCTTTTCTACATAAATGGTTCTACTGACATGACAGAGCAGAAGGGAATAGCAGAACAGAACCCAACAGAGAAGGCTATTGTAAACCTTTCAGCCATTATTATTACCCACAAACCTTTACACTGCTGTAAAGTAAGATTTGATGTATCTCAATCAGATGGCATCGGGTTTACTGTGAATTAAAATAAAGCCAAATGATAATTCCATGTTGCTAGCAATACCTACAGAGGTTTTAAACTGGTCTAATTATTTCTGCAACAGGGCAGCTCCCTGAATTGCACAGCTGAGATACTTTATCATCATGGTGAGACACCTGTTGCTCCTGAAGTACATTATGCTTTGGCAGGGGAGTTTGAGACACATTCAAAGGAAGCAGACAGCATATTCTACAACAGAATTCAGCACCTGTCCGAGGCATTAGAGACCAAAAATATACCAGGTAAACTAAATGTTGCCATTTAAAATGTTGCATTCTGAAGTTAAATAACATCTGCAAATGTTTTCAAATAACCAATGAGGGATGACCTTAAACATAAACTATTACAGTGTGTCTTCCTACCTAAAAACTGACAGGGAGCTCCAGAGATTCTTCCCTTCCTCTTAATGGCAGGTTTTGCATTTTTTTTTTTCCAACATACAAAGTTCTATAGGCCTGACCATATTCCTGTTCATTGGGACATGTGGCCATTTCCTGCATGCACACACTTATTTTTATAAGATTTTTTCATCTATTGACACTTTTCCTTTTAAAAAATATTGTTCTGTTTTATTTCTTTTCTGTTGTTCATCTAAATATGGTGAAAATAAGATCTGACTTTTGTTTGAATCAGTCAGAGTTATCATGATACAGTCCCTTTGAAAACTGTGTTTTGATATATGGAAATACATAAATAGTTAAGGTTTACACTTTGATATTCTTATCCTTTTCTTAAAATCCATAAATAAGCAACAATATATAAATGTATTACTTGCATTTCTGACTACAGTGTTTTTGTTTTTTTCTTAGTAACAAACCAGGAGTCTTAAAAAGTGAATCCTGGTCTCTGCATACTTATGTCATGGTAAATTTATTGCTTTAGTATAAAATACCAGATTTTTTTTTAATTCCAGAAGATTAACACGGCTATATAGACTATATTGCCCAGATTTGTCAGATGTTTCATTTTTAAGGGAGTAGTGCTCCTCTAGACAAAGCTGGTGCACTATCTGGGGGCCCTCCTCTAAAAGCAAATGGCAACCTTGACCAGATGGGCTTTTGCAAGGATTTGTCTTGTGTGCAAATTGAATCCCCTTCCTGGACCAGGGTGGGATGGACTGGGTTCTGCTCATGCCTTAATTGTTTTTCAATTGGATTACTGCATTGTGCTCTATGTTGAGTTGCCTTTGAAGCCATACCTGACATGGGGTGAGATTATTTGCTGCATCATCAGGTCTCTAAATGTTTCTAGCTATTTCAGATCTAACAGAATGGGAATGATCGAAATCCCTTCTATTAAACACTATAATCTTACAGGACCTTCTTTGGCATGATTGCTGCCCTATAGAACAGCTTTACCCTTGAGATCTAGAGAGCCTTGACTCTCTCAGTCTTTCAGAAGGTTGAGAAGACCTGGTTTTTTTCTCATGCATTATACCAGGATATGTGTATATGTGTGAAATTGCTATTATTATTAAAACTTAGGATATCTTTTTCTCTCCATTGGATTTTTTTAAACTTATAGTGGATTTTTAGTAAGGTGTTCAACACCCAGTATTATACATTTAAGTTAGGCAGCCATATAAATTTTCTAAACAAACAGAAATTATTTATGGTCCTAGCAGTGATGCAAAACAATAATCATATTTGGCTGTAGCTATTAGAATTATAAGTACCTTCAATATGGATCTTAAGAGTAATACATGCCCACATAGTTCTGGCCATCCAGACTTAGTTTTTTCCTTTTTTCAATATTTATTTCAGCTACATGGCTATTAGATCAAAGTCCAAGTTCCAGATACACAAGAAAGAATGCATGTTGCATACCCAGATAAATTTTACTAAAGCATGCATAGTCACAATACCACACCTAGCCATGCATTTTCTCTGTTTCAAGATTTGTTTAGTACAACTTTTACTTATATTTCCAGATAATGATGGAAACATGACAGAAGAAATGAAGCCTATTTTCAACTTAGCCAAGGTTGCCTCTGGATATATAGTATGGCAGAATTCGACAGAAAACACTTGGTACAATATGATTCAAATTCAAAATGTTAAACAAATGGTAAGTAAAGTCTTAACAGCTTTCAATTAGTTTCTTTCCCCCCCCTCCCCCCCAAAAAGACTGCTTCTCACTTCTATGTTATGACTGTTTTAAGAATACCAACCTCACTATTTATGACTCAAAAATTGCTAACTCATTTCCCCAGAGCAAAAATAATGCAACTGTCCAGAGCCTCCCTTGACAGTGAGATGGGTGACATAATAAATTTAATAAACAAAATAAACTTTAAAGAACTACAGAGCCGAAGAATAACAAAATCGTGACATTTTACGCTTCCCTCTTGAGAAATCAGGGGTTCACAAATTACAAGATCCATCAGCTCAGGAAAGACTAACAAAATGCCAGAGAGGAAAAGGTGAAAAGGGGGAGAGAGCTTTATTTTACAGGTTAGTTGCAGATCAGATCCAGGCCTTAGGCCAGACATTTTCACCCCAGCTTAAAAAGAACATTTCTGAGTACTCTGCTGCATTTTACTTTTAATTTTGTTTTGTTCTTTTATAATAGGGCTGTACAAATTTTCTGGACTGATTGTTGCACATTTATTTACAGTTTGGTAGCAGGTTACTTGAGTTTGGGAATAATACCAAAAGCAAACATGAGACTGTAGCACAGTATAGATTAGTTCCTGCAGTATGCTGCCTTTTTTTTAAAAAAATGTTCTATTCTGTTTTCCCCTGAAACTATAAGGAGGTCACAAAAATCCAGTAAGCCAAGGAGTCAGTCCCTAATGATTTAATATTATAACAAAATAAACAAAGAGTCATAAAATAATAAGCAAAAATAAGCAAACAATTTGCTGGGATAAGACTAGAATGTTTCTCAATAAAAGAGAGTATAACCATCTGGGTTTTTTAAGAGAGAAAATTTACAAACCATAATTGCTTGAGCCAGTAGAAATTTTTTTAAACGCGGGGGCTTTGCACCTAAGCCTGTATGACTAAAAGAAAGGAAAACTAAATCTCTTCTGATTATTCAGTTCCCAAATATACATTTTGTGTATTATATATAATTATCTATACTTAACTGAGAACTGTAGTTGCTGAACTGATTTTCTTTTTTATGGTTTCAGAAAAGGAATGATGACTATCTTGAATTTTCCTATGAGGTTTTATTCCATGATATTGCCTCCCAGGTAAGTAATATTTTGAAAAAGTTTTTTTTTAAAAAAGTCACAGTAGAAGCTATACATCTTATTTTCATATAACAACACTGGAGTATCCAGGCAACAGTCAAGGACACTAAACTGGACAGAAATGGTTCCAAAATAGGGAGCAATGATGTACAGAAAGTCCTCAACTTACAATAGCAATACGATTTATATACCGCTTCACAGTGATTTACAACACTCTGTAAGCGGTTTACAGAGTCATCATATTGCCCCCGACAATCTGGGTCCTCATTTTACCAACCTCGGAAGGATGGAAGGCTTGAATCCACCCTGAGCCAATCAGACTCAAACGCGAATTCCTGGCAGTGAAGAGTGAATTAGCTTGCAATACTGCATTCTAACGCTGCATCACCAGGACTCCTACAACCTCAATTAAAAGCAGAATTTCTGTTGTTAAGCAAGGTGGTTGTTAAATGAGTCATGCCCAATTTTAAAATCTGATTGCCATGGTTATTGAGTGAATCACTGTAGTTATTAAGTGACTCACAAAGGTGTTAAGCAAATCCAGCTTCCTCCATTGACTTTGCTTGTTGGAAGTGAATTGGGAAGGTCCCAAATGGTGACCAGATGATCCTGGACGCTGCAACCACTGAAAATACATACCAATTGCCAAGCACCCAAATTTTGATCATGTGACCATGGCGATGGTGCAACGGTCGTAAGTATGAGTATCGCTCATTAGTGACTTTTTCAGTGCTGTTATAACTTTGTAAATCGAGGACTTCCTGTAGCCTGTACTCTAAGTGCAGTCTGATCTGATCCATGCCCAGCAACCAGTAAGAGCAAGATAGCCCGAAAAACAAGATAACACTCTCACTCTAGTTGAAAGCAGATTCCAGCATTTGTTCCCAGAATGGGAATGGGGCTTAATACTATAATTCAATGAGAGGGCGAAAAAAGCATGGGATATTTTGGCTTCTAAACCATCTGTATTATTCAAACAAAGCCTCACAAGACCAGAACTGTGAGTTCCATGGTAACAAATCTAAATTTGACAGGGAACTCATGGTAATTATTGGAAAGAACAGCAGGGATTGAATAAGATGCCCAAGTCCAGAGAACAGTCAAACTGAATGCATTAACCTCAGTTTCAAAATTTGTATTACACTGATCAAAGATGTCTTGTACATGCCTGTAAGGATTCCATTTTTCAAACTAGCAGTTACAGGGGTGCTTTTACAAAAGCAGTTACTAGTAAAACAAGTGATGAAGACTTCACAGAGCACCATGAAAACCTCACTTGCTGATTTCTAAGTATACAGTAGTTCTTATTAAAGGGAATTATCATTTCCTTTGATCTAGATGCCCCTTTTTTGTCTAGTTAGCAATTTTGGATATCCAGTACAAGTAGTCCTCGACTTATGACCACAATTGAGCCCAAAATTTATGATGCTAAGTGAGACATTTGTTAAGTGAGTTTTGCCCCATTTCATGACTTTTCTTGCCACAGTTGCTAAGTAAATCATTGTTAAGTTAATAGCCCGATTAAGTGAATCTAGCTTCCCCATTGACTTTGCTTGTCAGAAGGTCACAAAAGGTGTTCACGTGATCTGGGGACACTGCGACCTTCATAAATATGAACCAGTTGCCAAGCATCCAGATCTTGATCACATGACCATGAGGATGCTGCAACGGTCATAAGTGTAAAAATATGGTCATAAATCAGTTTTTTTCAGTGATGTTGTAACTTCGAATGGTCATTATATGGACTGTTGTTAAGTCAAGGACTATCTGTACATACTTCTAAGAAAATAGGGAGCACAATACAGTCCTAAGCTTTAGGACTGAGTTGAGGACCAAAACGGACCTCAACTGAGCCGAGGACCGAAATTTAACTAAAGATGAATATTGTTTATTTTCCTGAATTGAATCTCAGAAACTGGAAATTCTATATATCTGTGATTTGAACTTTTTTTCCCTAGCTACTCACAGGAATTCACTGTTGAGTATTCCCAATGTCAGGCCATTTCTCTGGTATAGCGAACAGAAAAGTGTGGTCTCCTCCCTGTTAGAATTCCAGAAGACTACCAAGACCTGGCTATTTCAAAGGTCCTTTATAATAGTGGTGAATACTTGACTGCCTCTTCAAGATGTAGCAACAGGTTGTAGCTGGGTTATGTTAGTTACAAATCCTGCTGACTGGATATGCTCATATATTTTATCTAAGTATTACCATTTGCCCCTAGTATTTTTAAAAACTGAACTGTAGAATAAGGGCTGCTGCTCAGAGTTGAACATATTTGAGTGGCACATAAGCCAGAGTAATCAGTCATCCTGCTGGGTTTAGCCCAATGTTCAATCCTGTCAAGGGCATTTTAAAATATAGCTTTGCTCTCTAAAGCTTTAGCCACTCATTCCAGTTTAGTGTCATATGCACGCAGAGCCCTTTTGTAAGATGTGAGTTAATTGCAAGGTTAGAGCAAAGTCCACCTCCTACGCTTTTCCTAAAAACATCATAGCATTACAAGATAATGCTAACCAGGGAACTCACTTTCATGCAATCTTGAAATATGGGAAGACTCAGCAGTGATACTGCATATTGTTCAGAAAAGGCAGTGGGAACTGAAATAGCAGATGTACAAAGGACAAGAGTAGAGATACACATACACGCATGCACGAACACAAGCAGAAATACATACACATTTTCATTCAAATTTCATTATCCACAAAGTTTGATTTAACTAGGGCTGTGAAGTTCACTTCTATTTTGCATCCTGGAACAAACTAGAGCAGCCTTGCAAACTTTTGTTTCACAATTCAAAAGCCTAAGAGCACATTTGCATTACAGATCTGAAAATATAACCTTCAAATAAAAGTGCATCAGACATTGTTTTAGGATGTTTTTTTCTATGATCCTCATTCTGAATTGTCCTGGTCTACAGCTAATTTTTATCAATAGGAAAAAAGAGGTAGGAAAATCGGAAAGAAATGGAACATGGCATAAAATACCCCCCCCCCCCAGCCCAAAAATGAACAGAACCTTGTTTTGGTGCCATGCTCAGAAACAAAACACACTTCCCAGATTTCCCTAAAACTTGGATAGTTCTAATATTTCATGTTCTCTGTTTGCAGGAAATTATTCCTTGGCACATGCAAGTTCTATGGCATCCACATCATGGAGTGAAAGTAGCAGAGAATAGTCGCCAGTCAAAGTGATTTTAATTTTTTAATTCTTGCAGGTTCTTGAACTAATGAGGTGAAAGTAACTACAAATAGCCAATAAAATTTTTACTTGGAGGTTTCTGACACCCTTCAAATTCTGCTTATCCTCCAAGAACCTAAGTAAATATCCTCGGACCCTGGCCTGGCAGCAGTTATTAGACTGAATACTTACGGTACAGTGGCCTCAATGCTCTCTCTGAATGCTACTTTAGGCTTTCCAGTCACACACGGACAACCGTATTCTCTTTCCATCCTCTAAACACAAAAGACACAAAGTTTTTATTGATTTAAATGCACGGCCAAATAGATATATTTTGGCTAAACAGCCTAACTTAATGCTATTAAGCAGTAGAATTCCAACAATGCTATCACTAAAGCAAATGCAAGCTAAAATTGGGAAGGCAGAAGATACTTGGATTTCTCCCTAAACAGAATATCTTATCTATGTAACAGATGCAACGTTGCCTCCTAATGTGTAAATATATATATTTTTCTTTAGTAAAAATGCATTGCTCCAGATGCTCCAAAAATGGAAACCTGATCTTCAAATATCATATTACAAGAAACTGATAGCAGGAGATATTGATTTATTTGGTGAGATATGGAACCTGTGTAACTGTACTAGGTTGCAACAGGCCAGATTAAAGAAATGTTTTTGTCAAGTGACAGTAGAACAGCATCATTCCCAGTGTAAACTTTAATACTCACCTGAGCATAGATTTCCAGGTGTAGTTCTCCCATTCCTGAAACAATCGTCTCTTTGTTCTCAGTGTCAAAATGGACTCGGAAAGTGGGATCTTCTCTTACAAAACGGTTAATGCCTTTGGCAAACCTGTCATCATTCTAAAAAGAGAGAATATTTATTCAGTTTATATGGCTAACTAATCAAAGTGACTCAAAGTACAATACAGTGGATTAAAAACATGATTTAAGATGTCCCAAATTCACTAACAGCAGTGCAACAAAAGTCAAATAGGAAACAATCAGCTGATTCACAATTGCCCTGCTGAGAAAAAGCTGATCATGCTTTTCTGAAGGTCAGTATGGTCAGGGCCAAACAGGCCTCAGAGGGAATGCTGTTCCAAATTTAGGAGCAGCACTAAACAAGGCACACCCAAGGAGTCCCATAACATGACACTGTAACAGCCTTTGAGGTAGGTCAAATCAGTAAATAGGCAAAGAGCCGTCCAATTCAGGGCCATCATTACCTGCTTATTCCAAATCATGACAACAAACCAATCTAGTATGTCACAATCTTGAAGGCCTGGGAAAAGTTCATAGTTGTCATGCTGGCCATGAAGAGCCAAGCTGCTTCAAACTCTGGACCAACACGGGGCAAGTTAAAGGCTCCTGACTCCACGCGTATGGGAAATTTAATCAACAGCCTTAAGGGGTTCAGGCAGAGAAGCCACTGCACAGCAGGAAAGCCAACACAGCAACAACAAATCTCAACTGATAAAGAATCTGATTATCTGTGAGGCACTTCAATACAAAATCTGAAAGAATAAATCCACATTTTTCCATTCACTGAATAATTTAACAATTCAAAAAGCCGAGTTTCAATCGAGGCTTATTCTGGAGAACATAAACATACTTGCTACAAATGGAGAATTTCTTACTTGGAGTCATGTTAACCTATCTGGGAACACAATTAGGAATGTAAAAAAAAAATTCATACCGACATTTAAGACATCAAGCCTATCAAATGTTCATAGAGGGTACTCAAAATGACCACTTATCACTGAAGTTATGGCACTGAACGAGTGGTAGTTTTGATTGATCCTCCAAGTTCCGGTCACAGCACCCCTGTGGTCACATGATCATGATTTGGGTGGTTGGTAACTGGCTCACATTTGAGACTGTTGCAGCATCCTGTGGTCACGTGATTGCCATTTGTGACTTTCCCACAAGCAAAATCAATAGGGAAGCCAGTAGTAAAGTTTGCAAGTTGCTCCTGTAAGTCACTCCTGCTGCTTTTTCTATTGAGGAGCTCTGCTATGGAGTACATGAGCCCAGGGATCTCATATTCTGTAGTGCAGCTCACCACATCCCACCAGCCTGCTCAGGCTCTGCAGCAACCCCTCCGCCACCCAGCCATGCTTGCACCTGGTTGCAGCATCCTCTCGCAATTTATAGCATTCACCTGCCCACTGGTCTGCTTGCAAGCCAGCAAAGGAAAGACTTGTGACCAAGATTTGCAGCCTCCTGCTGGCTTCCCCACTGCTTGTCCTAGTCCTAGTCACATGAGGTCCTCAGTTAAGGAACTGCAATCATCACATAATGATAGCAACAGGGACTACCAGGATTGATGTTGCTAAGCAATGTGGTCACATAATGTCGAGCTTTGTGACTATACTGCTTAGCGATGGAAATTCCACTTGCAGTTACCGTTGTTAAGCAAGGAGAATCTATAGCAGAAAAAGAGCTTCTGTACTGAAATATTTCAATTACATTTTAAAGGCAGAAATGCCACCATACTCTTGCCCACTACTATCAAAAAGCCCCAATCAGATCACACATAATTTATTCCACCAGTTGTTGTTGTTTTACTTCAGATCCCTACCTTGTTGACTGGCTTCATTGTGATGGAAACAACAGGATCAGGTACATGAATGGGTTCCTATAAAGAGAGTCCATAGAAACAATTTCACAACATAAACTTTCTAGAAGTCATCGCTGCTGGTAGACAAGTTCTTCCAAAGATTAAAAACAAATTAATGAAGACATTATAAGATAAACATGCATTTTCTTGTGTTTCATACCCATTATATTCTAACAAGCTGTAGTTATTAGAATATCACTGTACTGTCTTCCTGCATCACCTATAATTCAAAATGTCCAGTGTTAGATCCTTATTATTGCAGGACTATATAATATTTGAAAAGTTGGGGGCCATTTGATGATTCTATATTGTTACTGGAAACAATAGGGCTAATTATTTTTATCTGTGGTTTGGGGAAGTCCAGGTGAAAGGCTTCTAGGATACAAACTGCTCCTACTCCAAACATTACCTAACTCCTAAAAACATGAAATCATGCTGCTGAAATTCATCTATTTTGGTGGGTGTGACTTGGGGTTCCACCATCTTGCATTATACATCAAATCTGTAGACTTCATGGAGTGGAAATGGGAAAATCTAACTAAATAAACACCAAGAGTTTTGAATTATAGCATGCATGAAGAGAATGGATGCTTTTAGGTTACAAGTTTATCACTGGCTATGGAGGCTTGCTTGCAGCTTGTATTCACCAACAACCAACCAAATTTAAAACTAGCCCAAAAAAATTATTTCTGTCTTTCATTAACAAGGACAAAAGTTATATCGTAAAACAAGTCTGCAGCAGCCATTGGAAAAATAAATAGGACACAGCAATTTGCAGAATCTGGGACATTCACGACTAACCATAAGTTTTGTTACAAATCAGCAACATATATGAGGTAATGAGGGAATTACTGTTATATTCAAGAACTAAATATAGAATAATGCTTGCAACTAGGAAACAATATTCTCCCTTTTGCCTCCACCCTCAGTTGTAATTACAGCTGTGCAACTTATTGGTTAGTTTTGCTACTACCTATCAATGAAAAAGCTGTCACTGAATCTTTTTCACACTTGATTAAAATGTATCAAATAAATCACATATATGAAAGTTCAGAGATTCCATTTTTTCACTCTATAAAAGTATATCTACAAAATGCCACACCTTTCATACTACTCTATTGCAATCATATGAATAAAAGTTTAGTTTAATAGAAAAGACAACCTCTTCAAATAAAAGCTGAAATACAAGAACTTCATATATCACATTTTGAGACATATAATAAAAATATAAGACCTGAGAGAAACACATATGTAATTAAAGTGTGTTTATTAGGCTCATGGAGTGGCATTACCTGGCCAACGTGGTTGACACAGTATGCCAAGAGAAGCTGAACAGGGTAGGACATATTTGGACATGAGATTATTAAGAAAAAAATCCCAAGGCTACAGGGGAGACCTGAAGGTTAAACAAAATTACTGGAAAAAGACAATGGCAAACCACTAGTGTTGCTATGAAAGCTACGTGAACATATCTAGTCAGGAAAACAATGAGAATTAAACTTAAAGGTTCATTTGTATGCTTTTGAGGGAGTTGGGATTAACTGAATGTGGGTTGAATACATTGCAAACCTAACTGGTTTAAGAGCGTTCAAAAACTATTTCAATTGCTATCAGATATGAATTAATTCCTCCAGAATTGTGTCGGTGATGTTTATTTATTGGAATTTATTTAAGGCCTGGGAAGAGAGACACTGGAAGCATGCCCCAGACTTTTACTTCCCAACTTTAATAACAACAACAACAATAACAACAACAACTTCTTTCATTGTACAAGGAAAGCTAAAAACAGACTAACAATAGAATAAAGCCCTTCTTTACTCACACCTATTTACCCAAGGAGCTCAGAGAAAACACTCATGCCTCTTTCCAAATCTTATGAATGTTTTCCAAAACAGGTTATCCAAACACTTTCCTCTTAGAGAAAGTCATATTACCTTATATATAAAGCATGGTTTACATTCATCTATATATCTACGTAGTTGAGTTATACTCTACTTTTCCTCCAGGAACTCAGTAAGGAACTTCCTCCTTCTCTTACAACAACACTATGAGTGGTTGGTCCAAAGACATCCAGTGAGATTCCTTGAGTCAAGGTGGACTTAAACTTGGGTCTCTTTGATCCTAATCCAATACTTTAACATCCACACACCCTGACTGTTTTTAAGACAAAACAGAAGAAAGATTCACTGCATGATTTGTTTCTTCTTATTTCTACTCTACCAGAGTGCAGAACTTCTGTTTCTATACGGGTAATATATTTATGTCTTGTGTTTTCAAAAGCTGGTATAAAGCAGACTAATATATTGATAGATAAATGCATATACACAAATGTGTATATGTTTTGGACTAGGAAAGGGGAGACACCCCCCCCCACACACAATTTGAAATGTTCAAAATCTCTTTTGAAAAATTCACATTTGTAGATGGGAAAAACTGGGAACCAAATTGTTAAGACTTAAACAAAAAAAAAAGCTGCAACAGC